TTGCAAAGAAGAGCACAGAGCTCTTAAATCCAAATAAAATCTCTTGTAGTTTCTCATCTTGTTTCTGGTTTTAAAAGCACTTTTGCCGTGATTTGTAGTGATGTCTTATCTCAGGAAAATAGTATTTATTGCCGGATGCTTGAAATTGATTTTCCTCTGTGCTGTGGATTGACAAAACATAGTGGTGAATATGCGGCATGGAAAGTGTCTATTATATTGTTACTATGTTTAGAGATAATTGCTCATACTGTTCTATACAGTACATTCAACTAATACTGTTTAGCAGTCTACTTTTACATGTTAGACATGCAATGCTGTGTGAAAGTCTTACGTATTTTCCACTCTTTTCTATGGAAACATAATTCTATGAAATCTTCAACAGAAAATGAAGCCACTGTATTTTAAGATAACAGGTATTACAAATTGATCTGTATTGTGTTGTACAAAAAGCGGCTTTTTAGTGTTATGGAAATGTAGAGGACAAAAAATTGTGTTAACATAAGAGCTGGCAATAAGTCATCAAATGTCAATGTGACGGATAAACTACTACACTTCATACTGCCAAATCACAAAGGGTTACTTTCTAAGAGTTTCTAAGAAAACTTCACAAGTTTTTAAAGATTCTAGTTCACGCTAAATAGAGATTGTTAAATGACAAGCCTGGGTTCTTCTTTCCCCAAGCTAATATGCCTTCATTTGTCAGAGTTATGATAGAAGGAAACGCTGGTGGAGGTTTGAAGATGCTCATATATATATAATGATTCCTGAATGTGTCTAAGCAGCAGTGCATATTAACAGCAGTGCATATTAAAGAGGAGGAGAAAAAGCTGTTTGCCAAGAAGCCTTTTCCTCAAAATGACTCTTTTGGCTGAGAACTGATATCCAGCTCACAAATTAGATACAGACAGAGGCAGTCACACAGGTTGGAAACAGAAAATGGAGAAATCCGCTTATAACCTCTGCTTTTATCAATAAATGGATAAAAATTTCAGAATATCAGCCATCGCTAAGTGTGCAGGAATTGCTCCAACGCAGAGAGGCAGCACCTCTGGATAAGAAACTACCGCGCAAGAAGAATTGTGCTGCCAGGCAACGAGGCACCAGCCAGAGAGGGCCAAGATCTAACACAACTTCATAAGATTTTATAATCAGCCTTCTGTCTGGGGGAAGGAGCACTCATCTCTACTCTGACAAGCTCATCCTTCATTCCTATAATACAGCTCTGTCCCTAAGCTGAATTCTGCAACCCGGACAACACGCTGCGCCTTCAGGATAATGCAGACGCTTCATGAGCTTGGCTTGCAGCTGAACAGGCCCCAGCAGAACCGCAGTCCAGGAAACAGCATCTGTGATAGCTTACAATGCGTGTCAGAGGGACATCCCCCCTTGTACACAGGGGGTTAAGGTCAAAGGCGCTCTTGCAGACCATGGTTCATGACTAGGTAAAGCTCCAGTGGCAGAAATAATAAACGCATCAGCCCCCTTTTAAACTAGCGGAGTGTGCAAGGGGACAAAAGGTTGTGCAGCCAACCATCCTGGGTCAGCTTTCCAGTCAACCCTGCCCTTGAGAAATTTAAGAGCACAAGGAGTTCCGGCAAATCAATCCAAAACTCAAGGGAGAGTTTAAATCTCCGAAACCCTAAACACTGAAAAGGGCTCAGCCTCTTAAACCCCATGGAACAAGGTAAAGTCATTGTGGAAGATTCACTCTGCTACTGTAGGTCTACAGAGTACCCTACTCTCTGAAAACTGGGGCCTTGCCAGAGCCTTGCAATGCCCAGAATCCTTCAGCCTTGCCAGTGCCCCACTGTAATTCACCTCAAGCGGACTACTACCCACCAGTCTATCTGCACAAAATAATGCGCTCCATAAAATAATACTCCATAAAAATGCATGTGCTTTCAACTACAATTGAATGGAAACGGCGATAGTTTCATCTTTATGACAAAATGCAAATCTATTCCCCTTCAGTTCTTCTAAGTTTAACTACAGCACATCATTAAACTGTCTCATTTAAATTAGGGGACATGTTTCCCTGTGAAGCAAATGATATAATGAAACGCCTTCATCTATCATCATATATTCTCATGGGTTATTGATGAGCATTTCAGCAGCTTTGAAAATGAACCTAGAAAGCCAAGCGTAGCATGCATATGCTGTAAATCTGCAAAAGCTACTGTGCAACTGGGTGTGTGGCCCTTATTTAGACAGGCAAGCAACAGGAGCTTAGAGCTAAAAGATGGCAAAGGGGTTTTAACTAAAGGCGTTTACTGATGAACAATAATCCAAAGATAGATGGTAAAGGAGCGCATGTGTAAGGTTGTTATTTTTTATTTTCTTACCTACCCCTGTCTGAGTTTGGAATCGCTAGCTGTTAGTCAGTACAGAGACTGCAGACTTCCTCAGTCCCTGCAGCAGAGCCTTACTTTAACAGCACTTGCACTGCAAACGTGTCCACCTCGTTACCACTCCTCATCTCACAGCAGTCACTGCTGTGTGGCAAGCTAAGGATGTTGTAATTGGCTCACCAGACCTCCGTGGCAGCTTTCCAATAGGGCACAGACGCGCCACGAATCCCGGTCGCAGCTGGTTAAGAACAGCACAGATTCAATCTCAAACTGGGGGACATGTGAGCGAAGGGGCTCAGAAAGTTACAGGGAAACGCAATTTCAGGTGAGGACAAAAGTGATTGACAGTTGCTCACTCCTTCCATGAACATCTTAGAACATACTGAACGGCCAGCCAAAGTGGAAGCTATTCTGTATTTTGTAATTAACTACACTGCATCACGGCCCCTCTTTTCAAGACTAAAGAGGTTCAGTTCCTTCAGTCTGTCGGTGTAGTAAGAGACTTTGTGTGATGTTATGTCTTCAGTCCATTGGTCACCAAGACAGGTGGGAAGACAGACAGAAGCTGTGCATTGCAGATGCTGTCAACCAATGATAGCAGATCATGTTCCCCTTGTTTTAACTAACAGTGGTTCAAAGCAGTAACAGAGCTGGGATGCAATCAAAGCTGGCAGACCCCACAGACCTTCTGGGAGCAGGACTATAAACAATGCTTTTGATGTACAGTACTTCACACCGGGTCCAGCTCAATTTTTTGGACAGCAGGAAACAGGTATTTTTGTGTGTGTCCACAATTGAATGCTGGTATTTTCTGCCTTAAAGAGCATAATGATAATTCCTTACACTTATATAGCACTTTTCGGGACACTGCAGTCAAAGAGCTTTACAGGTGATGGGTCTCCTCTCCACCACCACCAGTGGGCAGCCCCACCTGGATGATGCCACAGTGCACCAGTACACTCCCCACACTCCAGCTATCAGTGGGGAGGAGAGCAGAGTGATGAAGCCAGTTCATAGATGGGGATTATTAGGAGGTCATGATTAGTAAAGGCCAGGGGGAAATGTTGGCCAGGACACTGAAGTTTACACCCCTATTCTTTTAGAGAAACACCCTGGGATTTTTAATGACCATGGAGAGTCAGAACCTCAGATTTATGTCTCATCTGAAGAACGGTGCCATTTTACAGTATAGTGTATAGGCTATTGCAGAGTTTCCCATTTTGTGACCCCAGATTCTTCTGAGCTTCCTTTCTCAATTACTTTTTGAACCTTTAATTAAATTAATAGTTTGTTTAAGCATATCATTTCAATTGAACCATCCGACAGCTGGAGATCTCAATCTGCTCATTAAGCTGCTTTAATTAACTTGAAATTTGCAACTTTTCAGAAGCCGAAAAAGACTAAAAAACGGGTAATTAAACAAAAAGCTACTGAATCCATCAAAATAACTCAGCTGGAATGAAATCCAGTTCTGAGCATAAGAAGTCATGAGCTAGAAGTTACTTTTTTTTACATATAAACTATTTTGTTATTAAATTACCTGCCTCCAGCACTACACTGATCCCACCACTCAATGCAGTGACAGCATTTTATAGAGCTGATTTAAATTTAAATGTCATGAAATTTATACAGTGGGCTATGGATATGAAGTCTGAAATGATTTCATTCAGAACAGGAAAAGGGATTGTCCAGGTAAAAGAAACCCTTATTTTCTCTTATTTCTGTTCTGCTCTTTTCTTCCTGTCTTTGCATCACTGAAAAATATAGTGCCTCTGCTTCCAGAGCCTCTGCTTTGCACTAACAGAGGCTGTACGTGTTTCTATAAACGTGGGATTCTGTGGTATGCCATGATTTTCATCTTTAGGAGTATTATTCATGCATTTTAATAACCAGTAGAAATAAATCACACTCCACTGTGACTCAAAGCAATGGGCAAATACTCATGACCCTACCGCTAAAATAATAATCTGAATAAAACAGTAATAAAACTTAAAGAAACAGCCCACTTATATTCTGTGGAAGGGAGAATTACTATGCCTGATATTCACTATTTTCAAGTAGGTGTCGCTTCATCACTTATTGCGATGCAACATAAGGTCAGCCCTTCAAAAGATGTGAAAACCATTCTGCTTTGAGTACAATAGAAACCTGTCTTTTTAAAATTTCTCTGCACACTGCAACAGCACAGATCCTTCCTCTCCGAAACGCTGCATACCGGATGAGTCTGTCAGAAACCCTCATGGTTTTATTAGATGACTCGTGCATTTTTCATTGGTTCAACAGACAAATGTCTGCACTGCATGTGCCTGTATTTCTGCTCCAATGAAACAAAAGAAAACCACGTATAGTAACCATGCCCTCTAAATTCTTGTCTTTTATATCTTCTTACTTTACTCCTTTGTTCATTCCAGCTATATTCCATGTAGCTCTTGGGATTCTTTCAATCCTTAGATCTTATATTCTCCCCTAGAAATCTTAAGTCACAGACAAGTGCAAGAAAAATAGGTGAGGCCCTACTCTAAACGTTTTATTAATGCAACAACTTAACAGCTTAGGAACTGTTTCTCCTTCAGAGTAATATCAGTGTGAAATCTTTGAAATCTTCCTGTTTGCATACTAAAGATATGAAACAACCACCCAGTGTTACCTTACCAGAGAGGGAAGTGAGTGTTTTTGCTGATTTCGGAGTGGAGGGAGACAGCCCAGATACTGCATGCCCTCCAGATTATCCCCTGCCCTTCTCCTTTCCAAGTTCCCCCTCATCTAAAATGGCTCAGCTTCCTCAAGGGGGCGCTATGCCAGTGGAAAACAAAGACAATACAAATATTTTGCAGTGATTTTTTTTTCCTATTTCTCTGTGAAACACAACACAAACTGGTTCTTGTGCAGCAGTAGCTCCTGAGATGCCAAAAGGAGGGTGAACTCAGCAGTCTGCATTACACTGCTGTCACAAAGCACCTGCTCAAATGACATCAACAACACCTGGCATGGAAGAGGCACAGAAGGCTTCTTCCAGAAAAGCTATATCCTCATCAATCCCCACGATCGCTTTGTCTCTCCAGATCCACCACACACCTGGAGCGAAACAGTGTTGCTTCACAGCAATCGTGACACATCTACTGCTTCTGTGAAGCACAACACAGCCTCCTTCTGTCAAACAAAGCAGAAAGAGACCACATTTTAATACTTTAATCAAGGAAGGCTATTTTTAAAGAAAAGTAAAAATAAAAATGGTCAATCAATTTAACAGCCAAATCAGTGTCTTATAATATTCTTCCTGTCCTGGCTGAACTTTAATTGTCATTTTCTTTTGCAATTTAGGTACTTTATGGTGGCGATGCTTTTCGTTTTGAACAGATGGCTTGAAATACCAAAAGGACAACCTCCATTAAATGCATGGAGGACTTTTAACGACCATATTCCTGGGCTTGCAAAAAGAAGGAGCTGAGTGCCTTTATATTCAGGATAATCAGACATTGGACATTAGAAAAGACTTTCAACAAGTCGTTTATTGCTAGTTAATCAAATCAAGGCCATTCTGTTGGGGTCCTGCCAGGGATATTTCTGTGCAAGCTATAAACATTTTTATCTACATTCATCCCCGAGTCATAATGGCTTACTGAAGTGCCATAAAATGAAGAACTAATGGCAAAAATGGTTTCGTTATCTGTGGTGCAATTCCACTCTATCATAATGCGTTGTTACATGTATTCAGAATTTAAAGCTGTTGGCTTGCACATTTTTACATATGACTTTTAACCATGAAACTTGGCCATTCTGCCAGGTCAGCAATTATTAGAATTACCTGCACAGTGATGTAAGATACATGCCAGCTGCACTGCAGGTCCAAAAGGCAAACCGCTGACTGGCTAAAGTGATTATTAGAGTTAAATTAGGCCATCATACTCCAATGTTATAGCTGGAGTATGACTATATCAACATTCCAGCTCAATCCTATAATATAACTTGTGTGTCCACCATGCCTCCTTCATTCTGCTTGGGAGCTCCTACATGGAACAATGCCCTAAAAAATCTACAGTATATTTTACAATTCTGTATAGAAAGCAGTTTTTAGCTAAGAAACCTATGGAGAACATGCACAGGCCTATTTACTGTACTTGAACATCTTATTAGAGCTCTGGAACCATATTCCTGAATGGTTAGCGAAGACAAATTGAGTTGTAAAACAGAGATATAAGCAATTAAAAGAACTTCATCCAAAGCTTCAGTGCACTGTAAGCATCATAGTGTTTATGGCTTTATTATGCTGCTAGTATACAGAGAGGAGCATTTGAAATGAACAGATTATTATTTCTGCTCTGCCACGGTCTGAGAGAGAAAAGGCACGGCAAGAGTGTCCCCTGAAGATTGATAGGGTCCCTATGCCTGCAGAAAGTGGGGAGACAGCACACGACAACAGTTGTGCTGTGGTAAGAGAGAAACGCTCCTGTGTTACTGGGGACTGAGATTCACATCTCAACGCGCACTCCATTGGAAATCCCATCCTCCAAAGCACACGCTGCCTGTACCACACCATTGCTTCATGTTTAAATGAAGTCTTCCCACCAAAAACACGATGATTAAATTCCTCTCGCTGCCCCAGCTACACTCTGGTGCCTGAGCGCTTGGCGTTCGGGAGGGAATTACCCTCATCTGTCATCCTTCGATTTATGAGCTCATTTCATCCTGAAACATTAAGTCAAATCTCATATAGTGAGTGTTAAATTCACATTACATGTAAAAAGCTGGGGATACACTCCACGAGATCTAGAAATCTCTTAACATAACTCATTTGCATCCTAACATTGTACTTAAGTATCACAATCATAACACTCCTAATTATTTAAGGGACTTGTTCTGTAATTACCCAGTCAATAAGAACAGAAATGTATAAACATAGACTTTGCATGACATGGGCAACGTGTGGATGAATAAAATAGAAAATCTGAAGGAAACAAGATGATATTCCACGTCACAGCTCAATTTGAAATTCTTGGATCCAGTTTTCAATGACGGGGACAGAGTGAGAAGTGAGTGAGGCGGACATCTCTAGATGAAGATGGAGGGCAGGGAGGTGGACAGGGATGCAGCGCTGAAGAGCGAGTGGCAATGGGAAGAGCCTGCCTGGGAGGAGGGCAAACTGCCCTCATTTAGCGCAGAACAGGTATGTGCGTGCACATCTCACAAGCAGTGGTCTGGTGAGAGGGAGATGAGCACTGCTTTCTCTGGAGAGCAGGAAGGATCAGCCGTAGTAAAATTCAGCAATGCTAGGCCTTGCTGCTCTCTGCTGTACTACTGAACAGCAGACATGACTGAGGACACAAGGGGAAGCTAAGCTTGCATCAGGAACAATCAGTTCATTTGGTGTGTATCTGCATTTTGACCTCCATGAGTTCGAGATACTGCTGTCCTCCAAGCAACACTCCAAGCAACAGTCTAGTTTGCTCACTCTGGTAAGTGGACCATGCATCTGCTACTCTCCTGTCAACAATCTAATGGGCAGAGCTGAATTCTAACACACAGCATAAGGGTATGATTAAAGGGAAACTGATGAACCCCATCTTAGGCATTCATTGGAGGCTGTTATTGATTAATTATGAAACAGGCCAGTGGTGATTGGTATCATCAGTGAAATTCAAACATGCCCTGAATATGATTTTGAGCATGCTTGTGTGTTATGGGCATACCCCACTCAATCCACAGCTGGATTTATATTGGAAAAAAAAATGCACAGCCTCTGTTCCAGTCCTTGGTGTGGTTAAGACGATGATTGTCACATTAAAACGATCGTCGTGCCCAAAGGCTCCTACAATTTCCACCACATCATGTCGGAGCTCTAAACAATCAGTGAAGGAGTAATCAATTATATGGCATCACTTCTGTTTTACTGAAATATATTGACATTTTTTTTAAATTAAACTGGACAGCACAAACACTGACTTAATAAATAGATGAATGAATTGATACGCAACCATGCCTGACAGTATTATGAGATGACGGGTTGTCTGGAGTGACAGCTTTTTTTAAAAATGAACATCTGGTACAAGTGTATTTTTTTCTGCTAACACTTGTACACCACAGACCTTTTGTTCACATGTAGCAGGAGTTGCCAGGCTCTGAGCAGGTAAACAGAACAAAGCACGGAGACTTCTGATTTATGTGAAGCACTCGTATCTTTTCAGGAATAATCCTTCACATGCAAAAGGTAACCAGGATCAACACACTTAGAACATAGCTGGAGGTCCACTGGATAAGGGTGGGTAATTCTGCACAATCTAATAGAGATAAAATAAAACTAGACATTTGTATAAACACGCCGGCGGCCATGTCACCCTGCAAATGCACAACTGGCAACTCGGTAAAGCTCAGCAGGGGTGAGCCTGGTCAGTACCTGGATAGGAGACCTCCTGGGAAAAACTAAGTTCGCTGCTGGAACAGGTGTTTGGGGGGCCAGTTGGTGGCGCTCATCCTGCAACTTCGTGGGACTTAATGCCTCAGTATAGTGACGGGGACACTATACTGTAAAAAGGCGCCGTCCTTCAGATGAGACGGACCTGCCTCACGGATCGGATTTGGTTTTCGGACTCTCTAGAGGCTCACTATTCTGTGAACTACCCATAGGTGGCAGATTCAGACCCCTGTGTGCGGTTGGAGAGAAGGGTCGAGTGAGCGAATGTCCCGTGGCTTAAATTCAAATCTTTGGGCAGTTTCGTGGTCAGAAGGAGGGCCGAGATCCGTAAACCAAATCCGATCCGCAAGACAGGTCCGACAAAATCCGTTAACCAAGAGTCGAGTCCGATTCGTAAGGCGAGGTCCGTAGTCGGGGGGAAGGCGATATCCGACACAGAGAGCAAGGGAGTTTTAGCTCAGGGGAGTAGAACTCAAAAGTGTAGCGTTACCAGGTCCTAGTAAGCCCGTAGAGGTGAGGCAGAAAGGTTTAAGTAGAGAAAAAGGGGAAAAGTGGTTGGATAATAGGTTAACTTCGGTAAACCGAGTGCGTGGTTGCGTGGAAACACTGACAATTGCGTCATCCAGGTGGGGCTGCACACTGGTGGTGGTGGAGGGGATCCCCATTACCTGTAAAGCGCTTTGAGTGCAGGTTTCCAGAAAAGCTCAATGTAAGGTGTTCATACTCTACAAAGGGAGAAAGTCATGAACAGATAAAAAGTGAACAACTGGGTGAAACTCTCAGATGACCAAACAGTCTGCTCCACAGCTGCAGAACCCGAATGGAAAACAGAGCAGAACTACCCACGCCCTTAAAACAGGCGGAGATCCACAGCCGGACCACAGCTCATAAAGGCACATCGCTTCCAGACACAGAATATTAATATCTGAACTTTCCCAAGGCGGCGTTTGATATTTCACTGCCGCAAAAAAAAAATAGCTGCCCGATGATTAGCTGACGCTGTAGAACACGGCTGAAGCCTCCAAGTCCCAAAACTTGCTTTCTAAAGTGGGAACCGATGTTGAAATGGAGCTGCTCGTTTGAATGTTTGCTTAATTAACATTTTAGTTCACGTTGCACAGCTGTACTCACTCAACGTTAAAGGGCACCTAAAACATTCCTCTCATATGAAATGCAAAGTGCTTACCTGGTAGTAGGCTTTTGCATAATGCTCATTTTAGCTCAGACCCACCCACGTTAATGATTCTGCAGGTTGTGCTCCATGTCGGTGTTTTCCTTTTATCTCTTTACCTGTAAAATAATTTAAAAAAAGAAACAGTCCCAGACAGAACCTACCAGCCTTAAACTGCCTAGTGTTTAAATTTCTCTGTGGCCATTCGCTGTCGTGAGGTCTACTGTCTTGATCAACGTTGTTTTAAACGGTCAAGTTTCCCCTCAACTGCACACACAGTTGACAAGCTACAAAAATATATAAAACCAAAGCATTCTTTCCTTAATCGAAAATCATTTTAACAGCTTGAATGCTCCAGTATAAACTTTATAAAAGAAAACGATATTTCTTCTGTCATAATGGCTCACCAGCTTATAAACACACAATGAAGTGACTGAGGCTTGAGCGACTGCATCAGTAAACATGCTCACTCAGACATCGGGCTGAGCTGTGACCGGGAGCCCCCTAGTGGCCACACAGGTGAAGTGCTGCTGGGGAAGAGTAGGCCCTGGTCTCACAGGGGCCTCCCGCCTTTCCACAAAACAGTCAATCCTGTGGCTCAGCAGGGGTCTGTATTCATGTGGCGGCACTAACGCTCCTGTAGGCGCCATGAGGTCCGCAGTTTGTCAAATGACAAATGGCTCTGATATGTGGGAACATCAGAGGAGCGTATCTGCTCCTGGTCCTCATTGTCCTCACATGGATGCAGGGGCTGTATCTGCAGAACTGAGCTCTAGAAAACTGACCACTCCAACTTGGGTGTGCATATTATACAACATCAGTGTGTCACGGAAAAGTCTTCTGACAGCGACGGCATGACACGCGATCGCTGGAATATTACCAAACCTTGACATCATGACACACAAGGGTAAACGAGTCCCTCTCTGTGCTGCAGAGAGCAGTAAAATGGAAATGATTCTTCTGCTGTGTGACTAACGCATCCACCTTGCGTCTGGGCAGAGGCAACATTGACAGTGACCTGTTTCTGGACTGAACACATCTACACATCTACTGCTACATCTGTTCTCTTTCTTTTCCTGTTTACAACCGTTTATATTTATATTCATATGTGTGATACGATTTTTCTGTGTACTGTTCTGTTCTAGTTCTAGTTTGTTCTTTGTGTGTCCGGACTGTGAGTCACTCTTTTAGTGCACCCCTCACTGTACTGATTGTATTGTATGTATTGTACTATTATTATTATTATTGTATCATTTCGTTACACTGTGGCTGTGTTGTCTGTGCCAGGCTGCTGTTGCACTGCAATTTCCCTCACGGGATCAATAAAGTATCTATCTATCTAAGCTAGAGGGGGTCCGTGTTAAAACCTGCCAAGGAAGAATCTGAACTGAATATGAATAGTTAACTGAGCTGAAGTGTTTTTTTTAATGGTTAGGGGAAAAAAATGATTAATTTTTGGACTCTGAAACTATTAGGGATACTGTTTAATGACAAACTATTAAACAAAATCCTTATCTTTCTTTGTCCTCCACTAGCCAAACATTCATGACTGGAAGCTGTTTGACTGTAATTAGTTAGAGATGTAGGTTTAATATTTCAAATTAGCTCATAACTTGTGTTTAATTATTTAGGGAAGTAAATGAATGTCTTCTAGATGCAACTGCTGTAATGGCCTGCTTTCACAACAGTAGCCATGCTGGCTAAATGCCCTGTGCACTGCAACCACCTCCGACAGATCAGCGAAGGAGGGGTGTTGTGAACTGTATCTGTGATGTAAAGCCTGATTTTTGAGGCAACTGGCTCACGTTGTTTTCTGCCAGAGCGTCATGAAGCATGTATCTAAGAAAACTGGAGGCCTAATTGTGCGTGTGTAGACACCAGCCCAGGAAAAGAAGGCGTTTATCAAAAGCCAACAGGAGGAGATCAGACCTGAGTTCTGTACAGAGCTAAGGCATCAACAAAGATGAGTGCAGTAACATGGCCAGAAATAAAACAGACTGTCAATGAGTGCTGCGGAAAAGAAAATGAAAAAAATCCTGCAAAAATTTCAGTGGTACCTTACTGGCCCACTCAGTAACTGACTTACTGCTGGAAGATGTCTTAACACAAAAGAATAAAACAAACGTATATCGTCCCCACAGAATTCTGGCACTCAATAAACAGTAAATCAGGAGGGAAATAAATGTATTGTGAAGGTACACAGACATTTCTTACTGAATATACAGTAATTCCCCAAGGCTAAGATAAATGAGATGTTTTGGTCACTTAGTAGTGCTCTGAAGAGAGCAAACATTTAACTTTCATGTCATCCACTGGAAGACAATTCACTGACACTGACAGTAGCTATCAAAAGTATTTACCCTAACTGTATTTAACTCTATAATGTCGAAGTGAAAATAAATTCTATATATTTGGTAGAGATACAGTACCTTTTGCAGAAATTACAAATTACTTTTTTGGATAAATCTCTATTTACTATTTTATTATAGTTTCTATTTATTCATACTACTCATTATTAACACAATTTGTTCCTCTCCTGAAGATACATACATTTATTCTTCAGAATAAAGATGTTAAACTTATCTATAAAAGAACACAAAACTAAAAAAGCTGAGACTTCAATATATTTTGTCAGTAGTTTGTAACAGAACTTGTTTCTACATAAAGAAGGAATGACAGATTGACCGTAGTAGAACAATGCCAAAAGTATAAGACTTGTGCACATCATACAAATTTATAATGGGCATGAAGACAGTGGAGGCAAACAAATGACCCTACTGAGCTGTCAAGGATGTCAGAAAGGACAAACCGCGGAATGGCAGGAGAGCATGAAAGAGCCTATGCGTAGCAGCGAGACGGGGGTTAGCCCGGGCTCAGCTGTTCAGGGAATGCCGTATAGAAACCTGTGCCCTGGAGGCAAACACTGGAGGCAAAGGTAGCGGACGTGGGGCGACCTGGTGCTAGGCGGGGTTCAGGACATCCGAACGTCAATGCTGAGCCAGTAGCAGAGCAGAAGCAGGAAATAAATAGGCTACACAACAAAACACACCAGAGAGACAAGAATAATCACAGGGAACTAGGAACAGGAGGAAAGTAGAGCGCCCTCTAGGTGTACATGGCATGACATGGGCTCAAGATGGAGACTTACTGCTCCCGATTAATTAACAGTTCAATCAAGATCCAGGCTTATGAAACAACAATCTACAGGTGACTGGACAAAAAAGAGGGGTATCAGATACTGATGTGTTGCTTTGTTCTGCATTAGAATTTTTTCCTGTCCCCAAATGGTCATTTTCTAACACATGACTGATGCCTCACGTATAAAAGTAATACTGAAAAATATCTGGTTCAATCATCTTCATACTGTAGCTAGCTGGTGGTGTTTAGTAATCAACATTACAGGAAAGATACTGCTGCTCTGGAATCAGTCCAGAGAAGAGCAAGGAGATGGATTCCTGGGATAAAAGGAACGTCCAACCTGCTAGGCTAACAGAACGTAATCCTGAGGAGAAGATTACAGGTGGGTCTGATTCAAGCATTCAAAATCCTCAAAGGTACTGTACTGCGAAAGTCAACTCAGTGGGCTTCTACACAATCAACAGTATGACATGAACAGTAGACGCGAGTGGAAACGACAGGAAACCGCAAAGGAGGTACTTCTTTACACAAAGGATTGTGGGAGTCTGGAACAATGTTTATGAAGATGACACCCTAGCTTCTTTCAAGAAATTTCCAGAAGAGGTCCTCAGCTCAATTATCTACTATCAACATACCGTACAAGCTAAATTGGCCTCCTCTCATTTGTAACCTCTATATTCTTGTACCTTTTCACTTTGGGGCATTTAGGTCTGATTCTTCAAGACATGTGAACCACATATGGTGTCAGCTACTGTATACTGCAGGCACAGCTGCCGGAGAGTTACCTACGGCAAGTCAATGACTCAGC